GTACATTAAATTATTGCAAAGCAATGATGATGCAAAACATCGAATCTCCGATTCCCCTTTGGGTCTACATCCTCTATATCTCCCTGAAATTTTAACTGAAATTTTCTCATATCTTGCTGAAGATAAAACATTATACCCGACCTTATTCGTCAACCGGTTATGGTATTTATGTTCCACCCCAATATTATGGAAAAGAGTCGAATTTGTTGGTTGTAAAAAATCCCTTATCTACTGGAAAAAATTCAAAAAAGTGGTACATACACGAAAACCTCTCTATATTTCAAAATTAAATGAACTTTATATTTCTAGATGTAAAGTCTCTGGTGGAACCTTATATCAGATTAGAGGTCTATGTCCAAACTTGCGACGCTTGACTATAAGCAACTGTCATGGATTTTCTAGCGAAACAATTGGAAGAATCGTATACCCGAACTTAATATATCTTAAAATCCGCCATCATCGTATCAAGGATAAAACTATTTATAATATTGCCTCTTCATGCCCAAATTTAACCTATCTCTATTTAGGATATAGTGAATACATCTCTGATATTTCTATTATAGAAATTGCCAAGTCGTGTCAAAAGTTAAAATATATCAAAATAGGTGGTGCCCACATTACTGATATCTCATTAAAAGAAATCGCTCATCTGTGTTCGAACCTTCAACATATCCACTTGATCGATTGTGAAAAAGTGACGGATTATGGAATTAGCGTTATAGCCACCTCATACCCAAATATGCTTAGTTTTTCTTTTACAAATGGAAACGGTTCATATGATAAATTTAATAATGAGGGCATTTCCGATGTTTCTGTTAAAAAAATCGCTCAGTGCTGTCCCGATCTCCAATATCTTAATGCTAGTTGGAATTGTATATCCGATGATTCCATTTGTATAATAGTGCGATCATGCCCAAATCTTGAACAACTTTATCTTGAAGGTTGCAATATTACCGATGTAACTATGACTGCATTAGCAAATTTATGTAATCTCCAGAAGCTCGATATTGAGGAATGCGACAGAATTAGTATCAATGCAATTATAACATTGCAAAATAAAAATCCTGCTCTTGATATTGTCGGTTGGTATCCAGATACGAATAGTGAGTCGGGTATATCGTTATA